TCCTCTTAGACTGGGAATCTAAGAGTTTCTAAATATGTGTAAGTGGACTTTCTATTGGGAAAAAGTTCCCCTTTCTCAAACCCTTCCACTTCCTAGGAACTGTGATGGCTTGTTTCTTTCCATCTTGCTGCCTAAGAACCCCTCCACTGGAGGGAAGTGACAAGGAATAGAGCAGAAAGGACCCTCAGGAGGGAGAGGACTTACATCTTTTAAGGGAACCAGTTTCACTGTTGTTTGGTAGGAAGGAGTCAGAGTGGCTGGATAGTTGTAGTCAACAACATCGTGTTTGTAGTCGGCCTTGTAGGCGATCTGAAACAAAGAAAAGAACAAGGAAAGAGAAATTAGCCTCCACTCTCTTCTGACCTTGTTAGAATGTCATAAAAATATTTTTTAAATAACCAGAAATTAATTCAGTTCCATCACCTCCAAGGAAAATTGAATTATGTTCACACTTTTGCCTTAATTAATTTGAATTCTTCTTCTTAATTAATCCAAAATTAGTTAACTTCATCTGTAGCACATCCGTTTTATCTTTCTCATTAATCATGGAACCCCTTGTAGTTTTTTGTTGAAAAGAAGCACTTGCATACAAATACACAATAAAAGAGCTTCTTGCTAACGCCCAGAAAATAAATGAAAAGCCAACAGTCTTCAGAATATTTTAAAATTTTTTTTCTAAAGGTCAAATTTGACATTCTCAAGCAGAGGAAATTTGAAATTTGTATGTTTTAATAACAAGATCAGGATCTTCTAAGTGTCCTTTACCTCCAAGATTTACAAATAGGCATCTGCAAACCTGTAACTGAATTGACAAACCCAAAGAGAGATTAAGAGGTCACATGCTATTAAAAGAGGGACCTAATCTATTTTGTTACCCTACTAACTTGATCAGTGCCTGGCCATAGGAAGTCTACAATGAACACCACCATGACTGAATAAATGAACCAATCAACCAACTAACCAACCACTTCCAAATAAATCACAAATGCTTTGGAGATTTGAAGAATTTCAAATAAAAACTATGTTCATCCATTTCTCTTTATCTCTCAGAAACTGACAGTTTTTCCTCACACTGGATCAATTACAAGAGATCTACGTACTCTCCAAAGCAGAGAAAGCTGAGATAAATAAATGGAAGCTTTTGAAAATTTTCAAGGATTTTACCTAGCTTTGGTTGTATTCAGTAACACTTAAGAAACTTTCACAGGTTTGTCTTTACACAACAGAACATTGCTTTTTAAAAAGGGCAGGTTGAAAGAGAATTAGCTGAATGCCTCATGACTCCTCTCCCTCCACCCCAGCAGATCTCAGGGACCTACAGCCCCTTCATAACAGGACTTACGTTGCTTGCCAGGCTTCCAACTTTCATAGCGTGGAGAGTCCGTCTGTCCATTCCGACCCCTTCGTAGTGGCCTCTCATGTGGTTCTGGTAGTTTTCTTTATATTTGTTCTACACGGAAACACAAAGCCTTCAACAAAAACATTCTCTTCCCAACTTGCTGAAGATAAATTACTCATCTTAATCCACTAAGTCCAAAATATAAATGATTAAGTAGGACCTTTTTAAGTATTATGTCACTGAATCAAAAGTAAAATAAACTTTTAAAAAATAACTTAAATTTCAAGAAGTTGGGGTGAGACAAACACACAAGCAAACAGAAGATCTGATGAGCACAGACAGCACAAAAGAGGCATGATTTTGTTGTAAATATACCAGATTATTCCCATGTGAAAAACCCATCACGAGGGTGCGGAACTCTCCAAAGACAAGCACTGATTGTCCCCGCACGGCATGCAAGCCCCAGGCTGGGGGCTGGCGCCAATCACTGCATGCTGTTACCTCTGCTTCTAAACGCATGAGGAGTGAGACCTGAGCTTTGCCAAAGTTTGTTGCTTTCACATGATACATCGGTCACTACTGCAGCCATGTGAAGTAACAACATCATGTCCCCAATGCAGCTTACCAAATAAAGACAAGACCAAAATGCGATGACCAGAAGCCATAAATAGGAAAATTGGGGTAGCTTCTAATGAGGCTACATTAAAACCACCTACCCTGGTGGGCTCAGGCAATGAATGAATGAAGAGGGTGAAATTTACAGATGAAGGTCTCAGAGTGCCTGACTCTTCAACTCTGCAGCCCTGTGGGTCCTGTAGGTCTGTGTTCTTATCCCCTACCTGCAGGTTCAGCCTGGGCCCCCGTGTGTTAGCTCTCTCCTCCTTCCTCCCTCCCTCCCGACTCCCTTCCCTCTTTCGGCAAACATTTCTGAGTGCCACTTCTATGTCAGACAGCTGGGGTTCACCAGTCCCCATCCTCATGAAGCTGGCTTCCAGTCTTAAGATAAAACCAGACTATAGGAAGTAGAGGTTTTATTATTTTGATTAAAAACATTTTCTTAAAAAAAAAACCAGTGCTCTAACAGGGAACTATATTCAGTATCTTGTAGTAACTTCTAATGAAAAAGAATATGAAAAGGAATATACGTATGTGTATGCATGACTGGGACATTGTGGTGTATACCAGAAATTGATACACTGTAACTGACTGTATACTTCAATAATAAAAAAGAGCAGAGCTCTAAAAATGAATAAATAAAATAAAATAAAATAAATCACCTACCCTGGGAGGCCACTGAGTTCCCAGGCATTGAGAGCATTTAAACAGAATACTATTACTCTACATCAGACACAATTCTACTTATCTCAGTCAATCTCCACAAGCATTCTATGAGGAGAAAGGAATTATTATCATTACCATCTTACAGATGAGCAAAGTGGCTCTGAGAACCTAAACAACCTGCTGGAAATCAGCCACCTGGCTAATTGTGGAACCAGGTCTGTCAACAACAAAACTGGTGCTCATAACCACAACATTTATGCAAAAGAAATTCCTTACTGAGCCTCATGAAGTCCCATGTGATCTTAAACTCTACTATTATATGCAGGTAAGCAGAAGTAAATCACATAAACTGGTATAGGTCCTTGATGTTCTCAAGGATACATCCACAGACATTCTCTGAGAATTTGCAAATTTGCAAATGCCACTCCAGCGTATGTCTGCTCATCTGTAAGACTGGGTATTAACACCTGGATCCCCAGGTGACTGTGTGGGTTAACTGAGATTGTGTACTAATTTAAGGAGCATAAAGTCGTGTTGAATGGGCACACTGCATGCTCCCTCACCAGCATTCACCACTAAGAGCCAGATACTACTACACACGAAGGATGCAAGAGGACAGGTGCAGCCCCGAGGACTCCAGGTCAAGTGCATGCTGGGGGATTTCACACCCCATGGACCAGCCCAGGAGGCAATCTCAATCAAAACTCATAGCATCTGTGCCTAAGAGGCCATGCTTCTCCAAGACACCCAGATATATTCACATACACTGTCTCTTAAGAGACTTAGAAATTAAGGTCATTTAAAAAAAAAAAGCCCAAACAAATACTTAGGCATTAAAAACTCACATCACTGGTGAATTTTGAGATCTTGCTCACATTCCTGAACTGAGGCGTTTCACAGTAGTTGATACTGTGACCTTTACTACTTTCCAGATCCTTCTTATACTCCACCTTGGAAACCAAAACACCAGATGCACAAGGGAAGCAAACCCAAAGTCACTCTTTAAAATGTCACCAGGACTCGACTAGGATATTTTCAGAAAACTTTCAACCCAAGATTTTAAAATACCAGCCATAGGATACTGTAAGTTAACAATACATGTTTCCCTTTCAAATAATAAATAAGTAAATAATCAGTTTGGTTCAGAATATTAAAAATACATAGTCTTTCAAGACTAAATACTTTAAGATTTCATAGAGCTCAAAAAATGCCAAGTAGTTTTAAAAGTCAGCACAGAAATCACTCTTGGGGACAGATGTCTAGGGGGATGTCTGGACTTCCAGTTATGTTCTGTTTCTTGATCTGGGTGTCAGTTATGCAGATGTAACCACTTATGGAAAACTTTCCTGTTGTTCACTTGTGATGTATGCACTTTTCTGAATGTACACTTCAGTAAAATTTAATCAAAACAGTTACTTTACAAAAGAGTGTATTAACTGAGACCACTCATAGATGCACAGTGTCTTCTATTTTTAAATGGGTTGGCTAGTTGGGCTCCCCTGGGTTGCTGGACATAAGATGTGAGGCCATAGTTATTAAATAGACTCCAAGTTGTCCCTGGTAATTGGAGAAGACAGCTGAAGGCTGGTTACCATTAATAGAGGCAAAGCCAGTTGTCTTACTAGATAAACATAAGGGTAAGAAAGAAATTGAGGGTTCCCTTGTGATCTCTTACCAAAGGAAACATAATTTTTTTAATCATATCTTATAAAACATTTGGTGAGAATATGCCTTGTAAAGCATGCAAGAAGCATGATAATGCTCACAATATGATACAAAATGATAGAAGTACACAAAACTGTATACAGCTGAATTCTAATTCTATCAATGCATGCTTTTATATTCATGTATTATTTTATGGTATATTCACAAAGAAAAAGGTCAAAATGGTAACACCGTTATTCCTGGGTGGCAGAACCACACTTCAGCAGTCTGGTTCCTGTTCTGTCCCTAAAAGTCACTCTGAACCAGAACAAGATACTTTATTTTTCCAGGCCTGTGACAAAGCGAGGACCTAAAGATTGCAAAGATTCCATCTAGATATGACGTTCTATGAGTCAAAAGCAAGGGTCAGCAAACTTTTTCTATAAATGATCGGAAAGTAACTATTTCAGTCTTGGTGAGATATCCGGTCTTTATACTAACTCTGCCCTTGGAGCTCAAAAGCAGCCATTGACAGTATGATGTGTTTCAATAAAGCTTTATTTACAAAAACAAGCTATGGGCCGGATCTGGCACTCAGGTCATAGTTTGCAGATCTCTGGCCTAGAGCATCAGAATCACGTGGAATATTTGTTTAAAATGCAGATTCCAAGGACCCATCACCCATCTACTACTTCAACGTATCTGAGGCTCCCGATGAGGCTAGGGAGGTGTCACCCTCGTGATTCTGAGCAGTAATAGCACCACAAGCTAAGGCACACTCTGGGGTAAAGGACTGACTCTTAGGACTTAGAGAAGAAAAATATTTTAGGATATTTGCACATCCTTTTTTGAGTTTTAGGTGACTTGTTTTGTGAGCACCATGAGCAGCCTGGAAAGAGGCTGACAACTCAAGTGGCTTCAGGGCCCTGCAGGTAATGCCAACAGGGAGGCCACTACGAAGGAACTCAGGACATAGGAAGGACACGGGGAACTAGAGGGGGTGTTTCCTTGCCAAACAGTCTCAACAGTTCTAAAAGTCCTAACCGCTGGGCAGGCCAGACAGAGCAGTCTCGGCAGCCAGGTCGGCCTCTAAGGCGAGGGGAATTCACAGAGCACACACCGCTTCTCACAAGCCTGACAGCAACACTAAGGGAATGATGGAGGCTCCATGTTCGAAACGCTCTTTCCCGTCTTTGATTTCCACTCTGTAAGGGTGACACATTGTTATAAAGGCTGGCTCAGCCAGCATTCTGGCAACTAGAAATCTACTGCCAGGAACTTTTGAGTATCTCTAGCCCTGTGAGAATTTGGGAAGAAACTTCTCAAAACATCAGAGAAAGGTGGGGAGGGTACATCTCAGTGCTAAGTGTATGCCTAGCATGCACGAGGTCCTGGGTTTAATCCCCAGTAATTCCATTTAAAAAAAAAAGTTAAATAAATAAATAAACAAACCTAATTACCCATCTCCCACCAAAAGGAAAAAACATCAGAGAAAGATGTAATCAGTTTGATTCTAGGATCTCTTGTGAATTGATTTTTACTGCCTATTTGCGCTTTGGAAGCTGGTGACCTATGTGTAGTTTATGCGGCATTACATGGAATTTCCCGTTCTGGGGTCACCCCTTCGCTGTCTGTCGGAGATAAAGGAGGTGACAGCACCCAGGTGAGGCTGTCCGCATACGTACCTCACTCACAAGCTTGTTCACGCTCTGAGCCCGCTTAAGAACCAGGTTGTCGCGGGCTGGGAGGGAGTGGTAATGCGCAGCGCCCTTCATCTTATTGAAGTCCTGGCGGTATTTTATCTGAAAGAAACACACAAAGAGCATCCAGAGGCGTCGTGTTTTCATGCTTCGTGAGAGAAGTTACCCTAAATTTACTCCACATTCAATGTCAAACATTTACTACATAGAATTTTCCAGAGGAAAAAAAATCATATAGGGTTTTCCTCCGTTAAGTCCATAAACCACTCAGGTCCTTTTATATCAGAATGTTACTGCCCTCTTTCACACTTTTTACTCTTTACATTCTAATTCTGCATAAAGAAAGATCTCAAAAATGATTACACCAAAAGGCATAATTCCCAAATCCACTCCACCCTTGGTTTTAACAATCATTTCTCATCCAGCCTTGGGTGATGAATGTGTCTTTTACTTCCCCTCTCTGGACAAAGTGCCCTCTGCTAGGGACGTGGGTAATAACTGAACAGTAACAAAGCAAAGGAGAAGGGAAAAGGGGGTGTGAAACAAACGCGGGGCTTCTGCTCGTAGACCAAGTTCAAGTCAGTGGGTTAAGCTCTACAGCCTGCATGTCACTTTACCAAGTTTAACTATAGCCTGCCTTTCAAGGACTGCCAGCTGGATAACATTCTGCAAGTAAAAACCATTTTATCAACCGGGTTACACTCAGTTTGATAATCATATGACTATTTTAATCAGCTATTCCTCTAAAGTGTTCAATTTCTAAGACAGGTTATTTTGCTAAGGCTCTCCTAACCCCAGCTTATCTGGCAGGACCAGCATTTGCACTTGCTTCAGCCGACCTAAAATAAGTTACGTGGTTTGTCCTTGTCAGTCTCCTTTGAAGCAGATAAGTGTGAACTAACAGAATGCACAACAAAAGAAGAATTCAGAAATTTGGATAGAAATCGAGGACAAACATTCTGCCTTGACTCAGCTCTGATCAATTTAATTGTGTGTAGGTTTCAGTAAGCACTGCCTTCAAAGTCTCCTTTCTCCTCTGCTTCTGTGGCTCTGGGGTTTGTCCCAGTGTGGTACTTACATCACTAGCGAGTTCGTTGGCTTTCTTGGCATTCTGATACGCTGGGGTGATCATGGCAGGGAAGCTGCCCTTTCCTCTGTGTTCGCCATACTCCTCTGAGTAACCCTGTTGGGTGAATGGAAAACTTTAATCAGTGATGCTCCACTCCTGGAATGGGTGGGAGGCTAGCAATAATTTCTCCTAGAGCCCTGCTCCTGTGGAGGCCTGTCCACATTGGATGTAATTATCCTAGGAGCAGTACCACGCCAGGGTTAAGGTAGTCCATTCTGGAGGCAGACCTACTTGCTGGTGCCCAGCACACGGTCGGTACTAATTCAATGCTAACTATTGTCATTAGCATCATCATGTTCATTAGATAAATCAAGACACTCTGTGTGTCTCCTGGGTCCATGTGTTATGGAGTATTCATTTCTTAGCTGACACCTGGAAAGTACCTCTGCCTTCCAGGAATCTCCAATACTTTCTCAAGCTCGTTGCTGTATCTATGCAGAGATGCACTGACAGCCACATACTGTCTCCTCCAGTGATGGATTCATTTCATTTACCGAGAAAGAGAAGTTACATAGCTATTTGAATTTTTGTGATTTGGGGGAAAAGACTTCAAACTGCCATATGATGATCTCAAATGGGACTAAATGCATATTTCAGACAAAGTATTACAATCTAAGTCATAATTTCTTTCTTCCTCCTCCCTCCCTCCTCCACCACCCACCCATTTCCACAAAGGAAAATCTCTCTCTCACGGAACTGTCATTGAGTCCCTAGGGTAATCCCTCCCTGGTGATTGGATGTACTTCAAGACCCTGTCAGATGCTACGTTCTCTCAGGGGAACTCCTCCCTCGCTCCCAGGCCTGCCCACGCAGAATTAGCTGTTTCCTCATCTGTGTTCCCACAAATTTGGAACAGCCCTTAGTGTGAGCCCCTGGGTTCATGACTCCATCTGTCTCTGGCCTCCTCCAAGGCAGGGGCCTGCCTGCTCCAGCATCACTGTTCAGAGTCTGACACACATACTTTCTTAAATGAAACAGGTGGGTCAAGTTAGAATGTCCAGGCTTCCTTTTTATCCAATAACGACAGCTGTTTCACCAGAATGCTCCTTTATGCGCAGCTGCCAGAATGTTCTGGGCCAAATGTGGTTAAATAAGAAAAGGTTCAGCTAGAAAATAATAACAATAAAGGCTCTCAAATCCTTTGGTAATCCCCTTTCGCCCATTCTGCTCTATGGTTTGGAGCTGGTTTGCTGCTTTATTTTAACCTCTCTGCTTATATGAATATGTGCTGTGTATGTAAATGTTTCCGTAAGACACTTAATCCTATTGGGCAGTTGACTGGTTACAAATAATCAATTGATTACATAGTATAGTCCATTAACCTAAAAAAATAGGCACTTACTAAGAAGGAGGACGAATCGTTTGGCCTCCTAGGCACTACAGATATTTATAGTTTATCTGACTGTCTGCCTCTTCTCTCTCCCTCTTATCCTCACCCTGGCAAGTCTCACTAGATCACAGCGAAATGCCACATGAGGCTGAGACCTCTGGGCCGACAGCTGCTGGCCGTGTGCTCAAACAATGCCCACTTTAATTCCTGTGTTTGTTACTATCATGATGGGAAACTTCAATCAAAATGTCCTAATAACGAAGGTCCACTACCAGACCGTGAAGTCACATTTCATCAATGTGTATAGACAGGTCTACACAGGGATGTGAAATTATATGTGTGTGTTAGAACCAGTGGCAGATAGGATGGTCGAAATATAGAACAAATTATTTTTTGCCAAATATAGAAGCCAAATTTTTTTTTAATAAAACTGATTTTTCAAGTTGTTCTGAGCATTCTAAACAACATATTTATTTTTATTTAAACCTTTTTAAAAACATTTTTTTCTGGGGGGAGGTAATTAGGTTTGTTGGTTTGTTTGTTTACTTAATGGAGGCACTGGGGATTGAACCCAGGACTTCATGCACGCCAGGCATGTGCTCTAACACTGAGCTACACCCTCCCCCAAACAACATATTTAAAACATGAAACCAATACAAATATATTTTCACTGAGCTTTAAGCACCAAGAGACTACTTAACAAACTTATTGTGGAATTTAATAAAATGGCCTTTTTAATGTAAAACCAAACATTTTTGCTCAGATCAACATTTGCAAAGGGGTCAAAGTCTATCTTCACATGCATTCTAAGTTTCACGTAAATATATCCCCAATAGAGCAACTTGGTTTTCTGAAGAAGAGAAATAGCTCTTCGTTCCCTTTTATGAAATACGTATACTGAATAAGTCACGTATGTTGTAGAGTCCTCTCATTGCCAAAACATTCAAACAGCTGTCAAATTAAGGGAAAAATATCAACTAATCCCACTGAATGTGCACTTCCAGTACACACGCTTGGTCTTCCAACAGTCTTTACTTATAGCCATGAAAAAATAATGTTTCCTTTCTCCCTTACAACACCTGTCTAGTACCAGAAAATACAGGGGAATGTGCAAATAACATTAGCTTGTAATTGTCACTCAACCTTTTTACATCCTGTCAAGATGTAGTTCATTTAAGAAGTGAAACTGAGAAAAGGGGTTGCTTTCTCTGGCACCTTGCTTCATCTAACAACCCAGATAAGAAATTCACTTTCTAACAAAATGAGTCCTGCTACTCAGTGAAGTATTCTACATTCTTCAAGACATGCCTTTTGATCCCTTTTGTGCTTACGTGGTGATGGGCTAACCATAACCAGACCTTGGAATATTTCTTCAATGGATAGATGAGGATGCTTTATTGCCGGCAAACCCACCATTTTGATATAGGTCCTTTATTACAAAAAAGGACAGAAAAAGTGCTTAGAATCTGTTTTCCTAAGTGAGTCAAGTTGAGCCTAGTGTAATTGTTTGTCCGCTACTTTCTGACTTGGAAAATCCACCTTCCATAAATAGGTCAAGGATAAACCATAAGCCAACCCCTGATTAAACAGTCACAGGGTGTGTCCCAGGCTAGAGGGCTGCCGAACCGAGAACTGACCATCAGAAAGGGTAATCTCCCAGGAAGTTATTTCATCACATACCTGGCCGTACTGGTCCATATATTCCCTTGTCGGCGTGCCCTCAGCTCCAGCAGCTGGACCGGCCATCCCTTTCATCTCTCTTTGATATTGTTGATGGTACCTCACCTATTTGAAGGGGAAGGACAAACCTGGTGAATTTAGCCGCTTATGCACAGGGGTCAGAAGGGTACAAATGAATGTTTTGTGGAATTTTCTTCTCCTGCTTGGGTCTAGTGACCGTGTCTTAGACCTGAAAGTAGCCAATCACTGTCAGGGTAAAATTGATTGAAAACTATGAAGGAAAGCTGATCCCTAGATCCACAGTGCGTGCAAAAGGAGATAGGAAGTCGGGCTCGCCAGGCCCAGGGAACTTCCTGATTCTTCCCCTAGCGTGACAACGTTGCCCTGGACACTTACATCACTTGCCAGTTCGTTGGCTCTTTTGGCTATCTGATAAGCAGGTGTGATCATAGCAGGAAAGCTGCCTTTCCCCCTCTGTTGTTCATAGTCCTCTGTGTATCTCATCTGGAAGAAGAAAACACTTTCTGAATCACATGCCACAATCCCACCGTCTACCAGGCAATCTGAGCAAGACGCCCTGCCAACAGCTGCCATAACACCCTGAATAGCCCTGGTCACAGCTCTTATAGTGATGTAGTTGGCTTAAAGCTTGATGGGCCCTGCACATTTTATATCCCATTCTATTCCCAGTACCCAGCACAGTGCCTGATTCACGGAGATGCTCAGTGTAGAATACAACATGTAACTTGTGAGCACCTGCTGCAGGCCAGTTGATGGGGCCAGGCAGAGAAATAAGGCTTCTGCTCTGCCCTAGAGGAGCTACCAGTCAAGTCTGGGACAGGAAAGAGGATTCTCAATCCCAGACAAGTGGAAGCCCCTTTTTTAAGCTGAACCTGGGTTCATGCTTAAACTTCCCACTCAAAAATCACTAAGTTCTCGGTCTTATTATACTGTGGAGCAACCGGGCCATGAAAAGGCAAATGGTAGAAATTCTTTGAAAGTTATGTTCTAAAATTTGCAGTGACAAGGAGAGCATTCTTTCAGATTAATCAGATATATGTGGTTTGTTACCAACACTGTCTAAACTTTTCTCTGTAAGGAAGAGTTTTCGCTAGGTCTGTGCTAGCTGACGAATCTGACCTGACCGTCCATGACCTTAGAAAGTTCTTCCTGGCCCCCATGCAGGATTGAGAAGCAGCCTACATTCTCTCTGGGGACCCTTAAATAAGAATCACTGCATCTTGGCCTCCATCATTTCTTACATCGCTTTGAAGCTGTCCCCCCGCCTTGGCCCGGAGCAGCTCGGGGGTATCTGCCACCGTGGTGAACCTGGAAATGCGCTCATCATGCCCTCTCTTGTATTCCACCTGGTGAGGAGACAGCGGAGAGTCAAGGTCACATCCACTGCCTTTGTGAGGACCTCTCCCTGCAGCCATCCTGAAGCTACACTATGGGGCAACACTCAATATGGCAAGTCGCTCTGGCTTGCTCTATGCGCTCCTCTCCAAGGAGCACCGATGCTAGTGTGGTACGTCTGAGAGAGTGCCAGTAGCTGCTAAACATGAACAGGTGTTAATACATCTCCATAACAATTGCATAAGGCAGGACTGTGATTTTCCCCATTTTATAAATGAGCAGCCGAGGAACAGAAAGGTTAAGTAATCTGTTCACGGTCCCACAGCTTCTAAGTGGAAGAGCCAGGATTCAAATCCCAGCATTCTGGCTCCAAAATCTGAGCTCTTACCCAACAAGCTATGCTCCTTTTCAGGAAGATCTGCCCTCCACTTGCTAAAACACAGTGTCCTTCATGCCAAAGCCACTTCAAGAAATTATTTGGTCCAGTCTTGGGGTGGACTCCAAGGTCTTCTCTCCATTTGATGGATGTGGCCCAATCAAAGCACAGAGAATAATTGATAGGGGAAAGAGAAGAACACTGTTTTCTCCATAATATCACACTAAGGGTACCTGCTGCCCCAAAGCACTCTCCTACTGGATTTTATCCGAGTCCCAGGGGTTCGCTAATGACAAAAATTAGCATAATTGACGGCGAGTAAGCACTAAGACACTCACTTGGCTGGCCAGCTGGTTGGCTCTCTTGGCCCTTTGATAAGCAGGTGTGATCATGGCTGGAAAGCTCCCTTTGCCCCTTGGCTGCTCATAGTCTTCTGTGTACTCCTGTTGGTCAGACCAACGTCAGCATGAGAACCAATATGACATCCAACAAGAACGACTAAAATGACAACAGCAGGCGTCATCAGAGCCAATGCAACTTATTGCACTTACAAAGCACCTGGAAAAGATTTCAGTCACCTAGAATAAATCTGAACATGGTATTCACCTGGTGATTTGAATCACTTTAAAGGCTGAAGAAATCATATTTCCCAGGTCAAAGGGTTTCCTCTTCAACTTTTAGATTAAATTATGTGGAATCTGGCACCACTCAAGGGATGCCCTTGGGCTCAAAGGCTTGTATGACAATAATCAGCAGTTATCATGCAGGAGACTGTTCGGGAATTCATCTCCTAGAGAGAGTTCTACATCATTGGGAGTGAAATGTCTGCTCTGTTTCCCGCCTTACTTTTTGGGCATCTCTGATGGTTAGTTTTCCTAAGGACACACAGCACCTCAGCAATTGTGTTTCTGCTGTTTTCTTTCTATTTGCTAAAGAAAAGTTACTAAAAACTAACAATATTTTTCAAAGTGGCTTCTTCAAAGGGCAGGTGCCCTGGAAGGACGGAGAGGACTAGAGGGTACTACATGCAAACGTTAAGGATGTCCATAATCTGGGCTAAAATTGCCTTTTTGACAATGAAAACCTACTAAGATCTCTCTTACAGGGCTTCAGATCAGAGGTCTCTAAAATAGGGCATGAGGGTGGATTCCTTCTGGAGGCTCTGCCTTTTCCAGCTTCTAGAGGCTGCCCACGTTCCTTGGCTTATGGCCCCAAACAGCTTTAATCTCTGCTTCTGTTGCTACACCACCTTGTCTCTGATTCTGACCCTCCTGCCTCCCTCCTTATAAGGACCTTTGTGGTTACATGTGGTGCACCCTAATGATGCAGGATAATCTTCCTATCTCAAGATCCTTACCTTAATCACAACTGCAATGTCCCTTGGGCCATGTGCAGTAGGATACACATGGGTTTAGGGGATTAGGACATGGTCATCTTTGGGGGGAGGGCCAGTATTCTGTATCCACAATCTTAAAATAAAGGAACATTCAAACTAATTGCTACAGTGATTTCTAGGGCCCTTACCTCACCAAGTGACTTTCGAGCTTCAACCATCCTTACGATTTCAGGGTCTGGCAGAGCTCCTGGACACCAACCATTCCCGTCCCCACATCCAGTCCAGTAGGTTCTCTATGGAGGAAAAACAGATGCAGACAAACACGCACCCCACACATTTGGTTAGTGAGATCCACCCCTCCTCTACCCCATCCTCCCAGCAACGCTCACTTACATTGCCAATATAAGCTAGTCAAGACAGAAATTCTCTAAAAACTATAAACTCTTTTTGTCATCTGGCACATCTCAGAACCAGAACGTTCCATTTTTTTCAAACTAGAAAATAACCTAATATAAATAACCAAACTTTCTGATATTCACATATATCATAGAAGAGTTCCAAATGTAACTTAACGTTTCTTTGCTCATTGTTGCACCAAGATTGGGCAGCGGTGAGGTGCTGTGGACAGGCAATCCTAGATTAACCAGCACTCTTCAGCCAAACTTCAAAACCCCACTACCGGTTGTGTGCCAAGTACTGGCTTATGCAATTAACACTAGGAAAAGCAAAGCAAGAGAAAAAAAAAAAAGAGGAAGACAAAGTTCCTTTTTTAAGAGACTTGTGACCTATTTAGGGAGATAAAACTAACATATGAAACAATTAGTAATTAGAAAATGTTTGTTTGCTTAAATGTACTATATCAAAGATAAACACAGTGAGAGTTTTAAAAAGCAATCTGTGTGTGATGGGCCCTGTTTTGGAAGGAAGCTGGGCTGGAACGCCAGGGCTGAGGTCCGTGAGCAGATGCAAAGGGAGAAAGAAAACCATCTTCTCTAGGAAGTCAGTTCCTTGATGGCAGGGCTTGATTTTCATCTGTTTTGTACACTTGTGTATTCCAACAGCCTGGAACTGTGCCTGGCACATGATACTGAATAAATACATGTTGAATAAAGTCTAGGAGTGGGGACTGCCACGAATAAAAGCATGATGGCAGTGAGAAGCTTCGTGGGAAAAAACCATAGGGAGATGGATTTGATTGGAATTTGAGGAGACGAGATGGGGAGCCAAATGCACTGGAGGTGGGGTAGGTGGGACAGGTTGGTAGAACCATCCTTTGGAAATCTGGAAAGACAGAATTCATAGGTGAAAATACGCTCAACTACACTGGCCACCAGGGAAGTTTAAATTAAAATAACAAGACACAGATTGTCAAAACTTTCATCTGGCAATACCAAGTGCTGGTGAGAATGTGGGGAGACAGGTATTCTCGGACCCTGTCTGTGGGAATACAAAATGTACAGTCATTTTAAAGAGCAATTGGACAGTGTCCGTTAAAATGAAAAAGACACACACTCTTGACCTATCCTAGGCACTCACTGTGTCCAAACGAGCTCATGCACAAGGGTGTTCATTGCAACTTCATAATGGAAAACAAATTGAAATAACCCTGCCCAGCAATGAGACAGCACGATACATCCATTCTTAACACCCGTTCTTGCCCCCAGGATACACCATCCACAGCAGCTTAAAAGGATGTTAACACAGAAACATCTCCAAGGTATTTGTTGAGCGAAAAAATACAAGCTGCAAAACAATGCATACTGTTTTATGGAAAAACAAAAATATGCATTTCAATAGAAGTATATGCGTATAATTCTCAATAATTAATAGTAGTTGGTATTTATTGTGCCTATGAATGCTCCAAGATCTTTGCATTTATGTGCTCTTCTGATTTTTACAGTAGTTCTGTGAATCAGGAATTATTTGGAGTTCACTTTACAGATGAGAAAACCATAGAAAAGAGTGGCTAAATAGCTCATTAAAGGTCTTTCAGTAAGTGGCAGTAGTCATATCCAAACTTAAGGACCAGAAGAATATTAATCACATAGATACTGATTTGTAAATTAGAGAAGTTTAGAAGGGTACCCACAAGATTGCTAACAATGGGTACCTCTGCAGAAGGAACTGGGGTTGGAGATGGTGAACAAGGAGTGAGCTTTGCATTTTTTTATAAGAAAAATGCCAGTATCATGTGTATCATTAAAAATAAATGGCTGGGAATTTTGAAATGATGAGGCTTTCAACAGAGAGTGGCCATACATTCTCAGGTGGTAGAAGAATAAGGCAGAGATAACCAGGAAGACGCATGTGACCAACGTCACATGACAGGCTGGAGAGGGGCAAACCCAGGAGAGAGAAGGTCCTCACAGAGGTCCAGGCAGGAGATGATGTGGACCAGAGCTGGGACAGTGAAATGCAGGGGCAGCGTGGAGCTGAGGGAAGTGTCAGAAAAAGAAAGGGCAGCACTGGTTTCCAGCCTGGGTGGCTCTTCCCAGTTGCAGAAACACAGTGGTTGGAAGCAAGAAGTCAGTCAGCTTGGACAGGAGCAGATATGGCTGACGCGATGCTAGGACATGTGGATGCAGGTCTTCTGTCGACAGCCGGAATTACAAACTGGATAAAAAAAGCCTAATCGATTCTCTCTAGAATAGTGATAATACATTTCATCTGCATAGTGTGTCCTCCTTCTCTCTGTTTCCAAACCCATTTATAACTCTTCTCTCACCTCATCCACCAATGGTTGCCTGCTAGGTGCAGCTGCCCCGTCCTTGGATTTCATGTCCCAGTGAAAAACCGACTTAAACCGTTCGCCATCACCTTGGTCACCAATCTGCACAATGAAGATGTTGTCAGTAATGTTTCCATCAGAAAAAAATACTATAGAGCTAAACTGGGGGGATTTTCCTAAGTCTCAACTGCAAAGCATCTTAATTGCACTACAACCTACACTGTGCTGTTAGTCTCACCGTGGATTCATCTGTGCCACCCGGCAGGCAGCACATACAGAGCACCTGCTGTGTGCAAAGCTCTGTTTAGCAGTGTGATTAAAAAGACTGAAAGTCCCTATGAGCTTGTCACACAAGTATTCGGCTTAGAGTAATCTCAGAAAACACCAGACATTAGAGCAGTGGTTCTTAACTCGAGCCTGTGCAACATCCAGGGAGCTTGTTGAATGCTGGCTCCCCAAATTCATGCAGGTGTTCTCCTCCGCTCTCTAATTTCACCCTTCACTATCTTGATCTATAATACACCTTGAGCTAATTTTTGTGCACAGGTGTCAGGTAGGTTATGAAGGCTCATTTTTTTCTATGCAGGTGTCTAATCACTCTGGTACCAACTATTTAAAGATCATTCTTGCTACACTGAGTTGCAGTGGTGCCTTTGTTGTAATTTAAGTTGCCATATAAATGTGACTCTATTTCTGAACCTTGCATTGTATTCCACTGGTCTATTGGTCTATTCTCATGTCAATACCACACTGAGTTAATCAGTACGATTACTGTAAGCCTTGAAATTAGGTAACCTAAGTCCTTCGACCTTGTTCTTCAAGGTTTCTTGGTCATTCTAGAATCTTTGTGTGTTTATATCAATTTTAGAATCGGTTTGTCAATTTCTATGAAAAACACCAGGATTTTGACTGGGATCGCAGTAAATACGTAGATCAATTTGGGGCGAACTGACATCTCAATGATATCTTCATGCCCTTGGAATAGGCAAAGATTTCTTAAAGAGAACATAAAAAGAATTCACCATAAAAGAGAAAAATCAGGTCTTAGGTCCAAACCTAGACATTGCAATGTACAAGGTCTAAGATGGGCCCAGAAATCTGCAGCTCTAACATGATGAAGTTTAAATCATTAACTTTACAGATGAGG